AATAGTTACGAGTGGGTTCATCACAATAGTCCAGCGGTAGCGGGGTTTAAAACGGCATCCCTCGCCACTCTGCCACCGACATCATTGGGCTATTAAGTCTGTAAGGTGCCACAGTGGTCAGCTTGAGCTGGTCGCACATGGACTGGACTGGCTGTTCTAGTCAGGTTACTCGGAGTAATTTTAATACTCAACGCAAATAACGCCTAGTTGCTTAGTACCCGTGAGATGCTAATCGACGTGGACCTGCTCTTAAACTAATTGCTTCATTAGTTTTGATGCTGATAAACCAGATTGCTTGTTGTAAACTATGGTTATTTCACTGGAAATTAAACCATATAGGGGAATCCAGTTAACTAACCAATAAATTGATTTTATAGCACTGAGATTTTGCGCAGCAGCTGCAAATTAATCATAAGTGTAGTACATATAGCCAGCTAACAATAATATTTTTTTAAATAGCTTGAAAAAATTGAAATGCTTTATAAAGGTTCAAAAATATTTTTTCAAGTTATTTTAAAATTTAGTTTGAGCAGTACATCCCGTGTAGCAGAATTTATGAATGTCGTTAGAACAAATTATAATATCTTATTTTAGCAGTTCCAATTTAGTGGTGACATGACTGCACGATGCGGGAAAGATATTTTCGTCGGTTTGTGTGTAATCGGTCACTCTGTAGTGACATAATAAAGGCAAGCAAGTTTTGTAGTTTTTAGTTTTGAATGTATGGAGGTCGTGGGAGATTCTAGTAAATTCAGAAGATGAGCTAAACAGCATAGCTGGGCATTAACTCGTTAATCCGTTAATCGTTAATTAACGAAGTTAACATTTCTATTAACGGATTAACTTTTAAGTTAACTTTAAAAAATGTTAACGGACTCGTTAACTTCCGTTAAATTATCCTAAGTCCGTTAATCGTTAATCCAGTACCTACTATTTACCAAAAAGATACAGCAGGCACGCTGAAAAACGCTAGAAAAACGCGTTCTGACAAGTACGTTCGGGCTTCCACCCGATCACTAACGACACATTTGTTAGTATGTGTGGGACACTCTTGCAACTGAATTTAAGACCAGTTTTCCTCAACCGATTGAGCTGAAATTTGGTATACTTATATATGTTACGGCTAAAGATAGGTGTGAACATAAACTTAAGATTAGCCGGCTAAACTTAAGTCTATCTTCGACGAGGTGTTAATGTTAGTTTCTTCTATCTTTAGCCGGCTAAACTTAAGTGTAACCGCAGGCCCTTGGCTAAAAATGTAGAAGGAAATGGAAAAGGAAACAATCAATGATATTATATAAAAACAAAAGCAGATATGTTATAAGCGCTCGCGCTGTGAATACTCAAATACGTCCCAATTGGGACGTCTTGTGTTTACTCTTCGTGTGGCCTGCGTCGTGCGCAATCGCGTGCGTACCACACCGTAAGTTCCTGTGTTCTTACCAAAATAAATAAAAAATGCCATCGTGTGTGTTTCGAAAGTGTACCAATTATGACTCTAAAGTAAACAAAATACAAGGGATCCCTTACCACATGTGATTATGCAAAATTATTTAGTATTTATATTTTTAATTATTTATGCAAACAATCAAGACGCCATGCGCCATGTTCAAGTTAAGAAAGAGAAAGCGATCTTGTTTTGACGTTAGAGCGATAAGGATGCGTGTGCTGCGGACATAGATTAGTTAGTGCAGAATCGTTAAAACTATAGCTATCTCTTTCATTTGCGTGCTATTTCATATCTTTTGTTTCACTTATCAGTTACATTTGTCAATGTGTGCAATTTGGAATAGCTCGGCACGGATTAAAATCGTAATTTCTATGAACGTAACATATCTATAGTTCTATAATATCATTGGAAACAATGTAATAATGTTTACTATTTTGACACGAAAACTTTATTAACACGTTCCGACGCTGTACTCCAGTCCACCATGACACTAACAATCTTCACATAAATGTTTCATACACCTATACCCGTACTGTTGTTCACAATATTTTGCAACAACAAGTCTGCTCTCTATGAAACTCTAATGTAAAATCGACTGTTGTTGCCGTAGTGATTTTTAGATTGATTTTCGTGAAAACGGCGAGACCCGTAGGTACTGCCATAATATGAATAAATTCCACCTGAACTGTATGTGCTGTTACCGCGGCGGAACGTGTTAAAAAATAATCACTTTCATTATGAATTAACATCACTTAAAACAATATCTACCTAATCATTAAAATAAAATAATAAGGAACCATTTGGTCATTAAAATTGAATCTTCTGTAGGTATTTAAAATTACAAAATAAAACAAAATAAAACTGCGCGCGCGTTGTCTCCCCACCGCCCGGGCGCCCCCTCAAGCCCTCCGCCGGCCTGGGCGCGCCCATCGAATACATTTTTAGCCGTTTCGTTTTGGCTAATGTGCACATTAGCCGGCTAAAGATGGAATATCACGACGCAAACTAACATGCTATCGAACTTTAGCTGCTTTTCGAAGATAAACTTAAGTTTAGCCGGCTAATCTTAAGTTTATGTTCACAACTATCTTTAGCCGTAACATATAATATATACGATGACAATGCAATGTTATGGTACCATTGAGCTGGTCTGATGATGGAGTCATGAGGTGGCCAAAGGAACTCCTAAATGAAACGGCGGCATCGCATCGAATTTGGGTTCGTTGGATTTGTCTTTTCGAGCACTTTAGTACTAGATGATGTCCAGGGTCCTGATGATGGAGTCAGGAGGTGGCCATAGGAATTCCTAAACGAAACGGTGGAAACTTATCGAGTTTGGGTTTGCTGGATTTGACTTTTCGAGCACTTTGGTGCTAAATTATATTGTAATTGAACCAAGGCTCTGAGATTGAGATACTACTAAAAAGTGTAAAATAAAATTGTAATAATTAAAAAACTTTTTTTTAAAAACAAGCTTTTATTCTGAAATGCAGTTGTACTAAAACGAAAAAAAAATTGACCAAGTGTGTGTCGTTCCACGCGCAGTGTAGGGTTCCGTAGTTATTCGTCGTTACCACAATATGTATATTTCAGGAGCAAGCAATTACTTCATCTAAAGTTTTTTTTAATATTTTCTTCTTAGTAATTTTTATTAGGTATGAAATTTTATAATACATGAGTAAAACGACTATTACTCTTAAACTAATTGATCTATCCTAACCGCTATAGTTTTCCTTGAAAGTTCATAAAGAACACTATTATCATGATTTTTTCAGATTTTTCAAACCAACAGTTTAGTTTTTAGATGGGGGGGGACGCCCTACTCAAACAAAAATTTTCACTTTAAACTTTAACATTTTGCTAACGGATCTCTAAATCGAAAAATATTCTTAGAAACCTCTAAGCCATTTTAAAAGACCTATCCAACGATACCCCACACAATGGGGTAGAAGATGAAAAAAAAAATCATCCCCACTTTACATGTAGGGGAGCTACCCTAAAAAATTTTTTTTTCAAAATTTTATTTTTCCTTTTTGTCGGCGTGATTAATATGCATATCTCCACAAAATTACAGTCAGTTCCTTGTCAGGACTACGGAACCCTAAAAATAATTGTACTTATGCAGGGTTGAAATAATTTCGAAAGCTTGTAGAGCGCAAACATAAAAGAGGAATAAATTCCACGCGCGATATCAGCTTTCGAAATTATTTGAACCTTGCATACAATTATTTTTTTCGTTTTATTATCAAGTGTTAACGGATTAACGATTAACGTTAACTTGCGTTAAATCTTGCGAAATGTAACGTTTTAACGTTTAACGAAGTTAATTTTTTTATTAACGGTTTAACGATTAACGAAGTTAACTATTTGATTAACGGTGCCCAGCTATGCTAAACAGACATTTCCTTACTAAAAAGTTACACGCGTGTTGTTACAGTGACGTTTATGGAAATGTCATTTTATACAGGTGTTCAACATGCGAGTAAAATAAATATATTAAAATCTAATCAAATAACATGCTGCTAAAGTATTAGGCATTCGAATAATCTCTACTTTTAACGAGCGATATGAATTTACATAATGATGATCCAGAATTGGTGTTCTAAATTTTAATTTAATTTTCTTATTTTTTAAAGAACATTATTTAATTTTCTTTAATTCATGTTTGGCTCTAATAATTCATGTTAGTTACGTTTAAAGTTAATCCCTTTCAATCGTTTAGTGAGTTAACAATGGAAAAAGCGCTACAGTAGAGTTTTTGAGATTTAGCCTACCCTAATAAAGTATTTATTTATATTATTTTTCTTGCCTCCATGCTTTTTTCTCATTATTGCGTCCAGCTATGTAGCATTATCAATTATTCATTTACCCATTTCAGGACACCCTGTATTGATCTATAGAGTATCAGTTCTATGGGCCACTCATGTCTGCAGGACGTTTATAGCGTAGGAGTGTGTGAGCGGCATTCGATCGACTATAGGCTATAATTTAATTTCATTAGGCATTTGGGTAGACAAGTAGTAAACATTCCATTACTCATTTCCAAAATTCTTCCCGTTTTTAAGTCATAGATGTTTCAGATAATTCAAATAGTTACTAAATTAAATAAAATAACTAATTAATATTTTTTAAGAACAGTAAGTAAATTGTCGGTATTTAATTATGAAGAAAAAATTTGCGCCACTATTTTCATAAGTCTAGTTATATGACCTCGTGTGAAGAATTGATAAATTTTATTGCTGAAAGAGTTATAGTAGGTATACTTTAAATATAATTATTGTCTCGGAAGATTTGAAACGGAATCTCTACATAAATAGCCATACTCCATTTCCCTTATAAGGCAGCCGCGGAGCAGGTAACGCATCGGATCGCGCAGCGGAAGCCGCTGAAATTAGCGCACCGATGCGCGCGCGCCGAAACTAAATACCCAAATGTGATCCATCGGCTGCCAAATAAGGCATGAATCTCGGATTTCGCGCTGGCACGACCCCAGCGTGCTAAACGCGCGCTATTCCCGTCTAATACTGTCGAAAAACACGTAAAAACGTTTTTATTTCTGTGCGAGCGGCCTCTAAATTTAGGCCGTATGGAAACCGAAAGTAATACGAGCGATTTTGGTCGGGAGCGAGTTGTCTGTATTTAGATTAGAGCGGCGCAGTGCGCGCGCGCCGCCGGTGATGATAACGCATCGCAGTGCATTGTAATGCCGTGATAGTGATCGATGTGCAGTGATAGATTAAAGGATTTGGATGTCACAAATGCTGCCCGAAGGAGGAGGTCAGTTTGATATATTTTTTAACATTTTGCTGCGTAAAATTTACGTACGTGAACTTTTGTCGCGTTATCAGCGACCTCAATTCGTACTGATAAGATTGTGTCCATTAAAACATTGCGTCAACAAACCACTGAAAACATATTTGGAATTCTATGTTGTTATAAATTAGAGCTATTACCCAATTGATTGCAAAATTATTTCTATTACAACAGAAACAGGAATAATATTGCATTATCGACCGTCTGGTTCGATACATTTTGATTTATCGCGCTTTTTTATTTTACTTCACTAATAACAACGAGTCTCGCGCTAATTAGTAAGTTGTTTACATAACTATACAACTCTCGTAATTTGTGTCCTGACGATTTAATTGTTCAAATACTTTAATTTACGATTGTTTTTTTACTGTATTGAGCTACCAATATAAAATTGTTGGACAATTACTGCAATTTATAAATTAAATAAATTAATGAGGTTACAAAATTGTTGACTAGGTATTCTTCAAACACTTTGGAATTTATTTTAAATTAATCAAAATTCATAAAGTCCCCTCTACATACTTGTACGTGTACGTAATAAATGGTACTATATTATGTGCAATATACTGTTGTTACTTAGCAATATTGTTTATGTAATTATACTGTAACGGCCTACGCTCTACGTGATGCGGGTGTTAGTATTAAATCATTGCGCATTTTAAGTAATATACAACCTACTTTTATGTTCAATTATAACGAAAGGTCATAGATTCTCAACATGTTCTTGTTAACTTTATTTTTCAAAAATCACGTTTAAGCAAAACATTTCTGTCAGAAAAAAAATTACTGAGTAGCTACCAGCTACAGGCTTCTATTTTCAATTTTCAGCTTCTTTCAGATTGTTATTTCTAGCGTTTTGGAGATTGTTAATTTTTTTAGACTCTTCAAACAAGATAGATAGATAGAAAGAAAGTATTCTTTGTGTAAATTGACGTGCTGCCGTCTATACCTACAGCGATACATTATACAGCTTGATAATTCTTGCTTCATGCCCATTTACGAATTAAATATAGCTCAGTCAGACGCTATTACTCAATAAATTTCTCCGCCCCACTCACAGACACACGGCCCTATTCTAATATAGCGTACTCCATAGTAAGCACAGAACCGAAATAGATAGATTTGACGTAGACTGTCACACGTGGGCATCGCATATATCGCGCGAGCTCGCAATATATCGCGCCAGCTCTCAATATATCGCGCCGGATATGTGTTTATAGCCTTTATCCAGTTCAGTGAGAAATAATATTCTTTGGTTGCAACCTTATTTCATCTCAATTAAGTTCAAAATAGATGGTAACAATTTAACCACTGTTGGCAAATTCTTTGTCTGCAGAAGAATAAATTGGATTAAAATAAAACTATATTTTTATTTTTAAACAATAGTAATGTTATAAGATCATTTATAACGTGTTATTATAAGCCATTTCAAATGACTCTACATCCTTTTGCCTTACTGACATGTAATCAATGATATATTACTATGCAATCCAAGTTATATTATGTCCTGTTGGTCTAAATATTGGAATTCCACCAATTAAAGCTCGAAATTGAATCTACTTTTGAGCTTCGTTAAAACTCTTATATTTTCTTCTTATTAATTATTGCAAGCAAAGTTTTGAGGCGCGATGCCGGGTAACACAGTTTTTTTTTTATATTTATCAGTTTTTCCTAAAAAGTTCGGTAAACAAACTAAAAAATCGTGTCACCGACCCATTTTGTGGTGATTTTCACTACAAATCAGGCAAATGTAATGTGTAATGTGTGTCACATGTACTACCGAATACGTCAGTGTTTGCTCGTCTCACTTTATGGCGCATCAAATAACAGCCGTGCCTAATGACACAGACTACTTCAAGCTTGAGGAAATATTAAAACTTAAGTCATCATCATCATAGCCATAGGTAGGACGTCCACTGCTGAACATAGGTCTCCCCCAATGATTTCCACGTTGACCGGTTGGTAAAGGCTGGACAGGCCGCTACCAAGACTTATGTACTTCACTTTTAATTTCTTATGATTAGGTGTGAAGGCCAACACTAGACACTTATATTCTGCATAAATATGCATTTGAATATTTTAGTTCAATGAATATTAATTTGAAAGGTTTAATTGCAATAGTTACAGATTAAAATACAGATTATATAGTTACAAAAAAAAAACAGCACACCTGATTAAACAAATTTATATTGATCAGAAAAATATTTTCTTACGATTTGTACCTAATAAAAAAAAAGAATTATTAGTTAGTCCGTTAACCCCTCGTGGAAAGGTTCACCACATTGGTCGAGCGGGGCGGCCACATTATTCAATGCAATCCATAAATAAATAAACAATATTTCAAGTCAAGCACAGCTAATAAAACTAAAAAGGGCGTTAAAAAGTGTCACACAAGAAAGTTCCGCGATTATTATTGAGTTTTCTCACTACTTTATTTGCCGCAAACAAACTTTTATGTTTAGTAGCACTTGCTAAATAGCCACCTGCGCCTGCGTCGAGGTGTTTTCAGTTATCGTCGCCAAATATGGGCGGTGAATGTCTCTGTCCAATTTGCGAAGAGCCAAAGAGGCAATGTTTGCTGTTTCAATATTCCGTACGGTTTTATTTGGGTCAATTTGCCCGTATTACACTGTTGACATTTCAAACTATAAACTATGTGTCACTTCAAATCTTTTTTATGTGAATTATAGGAAATCTGCTTGTTTTTTCATATAAAAACAATGACTTGCAAGCCTGTAAATAGTAATTATTTGCAAGAATATTAAAATTTAACCATTAAAAAGTGTGAATCTATGCTGTTTTCTTCATCGTTAACTTATTATAGTCGCGGGAAGAGCCTGGATGCGTTCATTGTGGAAAACCTTGGGGGAGGCCTTTGTCCAGCAGTGGACGTCATTTGGCTTAAACGAACGAACTCATTATAGCAAAAAACGAATATGCTATAACGATAGTAACCTAAAAGCTATTTATACTTTGTCATAAAAAAGTAATTAGGCCTAATCATCATTAAAATTTGGCCACTGTGTCATTTGGCCGACAAAACTTGGCTAAACCACTGATAATAATGGCGCCTATTTTTTAGTTATCTGCTTTTTATAGAATGATTATTTTACTAATCTAAATGTTTTTTAATAAAAAAAAAATATGGACTCTGATTTTGCTATTAATGTAGTCTGAAACTAGGGTTGATACTAACACAGGATAGAAATAGATTTTTAGATGCACATAGCTACAAAAACTGTATTTTTAAAGTAAATACATATAATATAAATCTAAGTTAATAGCAAAAAGGAACTCAGATTTCAACAGAATGTTTTCATTAATTGGATGGTTTTTTAATAATTTATTTTACAAAACCTGTGATTCTTTGAACTTATAATTTGTCACTTGGAACCCTTTTGCAAAATATCCAAAGGTTTAGCAAAGTTTGGGAATCGATGTTAGGATTTCTTAAGAATGAAATTAGGCAGATAAAACTGTTTAAGCTATTTATATTATGCCTTTTAACTCATATCCTTATATACCCATAAAAAGATACTAGTAGCTTTTCTAAATCTCTCCTACGTACATAAATAGAGTTTATAGTTTAGAACAAAAATGTGCACCCACTTAATAGCCTACGTTCGGATTTAGCATTATTATGTAAAGCCATCTTCCCACTATGGCTAATCCACATCTTTGGTCAATGTTTTGTTGTATATTGTAATAAATAACTTATATCTGTCATCTTAAAAAACACCTTATTACTAAGAAGATAAGAGCGAACGATTGAACCTCCCAGAGCTCTCCTACGCTGGTTGATATGATTCATTCTGTATAATAATTTTGTTCTCCATTCACCAAATAAGGACACTATTATCGTTCCCTTTATGCTGCTTATTTTATAGCAATTTATTTTGTATGCAGAATGCCAAATTGGACTCCAAGCCACTTAGATTGCAAGCCAAAACTGTAACTCAATGTTCAACAAGAACCATAGTATAATTTGCTACATTTCAAAAATACTTGTATAAAAATTTGTTTTCTTTTTAGAAAAAGCTTAAAATGCTTTTTTGTGTAACGACTCAATCGGATTTGGCAAATCGAGATGGGAGGAACAATGACAATATTGTGCTATTGACATCTTAGTAGGTAGGTACTATGTAGTTGGATCGTAAGAAAACAAGTAGAGTGGTAGAGACTGAAATCTACAAGAATCTAAGAAGTCTAACAATCGTATTCACAAACGATGCTTGCACAAGTGAATCAGCAAATCGAACGCACAGCGTTGAATAGAGCTCTGTGATTGGTTCGTGTATCACCCTGTACGTCCACGCGCACTGTGAGACCTCATAGTAATGTTTGTAAATACAGTAAGCGTCAAATAGTTCGTGACACCCAAAGTGGGCAAAAAGTTGACAACACAACCTCATTCCAATTGTAACAAAGACGTGTTGCGAACTTATTGGCTCCTTTGGGTGTCAGACTGAACTCTACATGTAAATAATTTTGTGTTATTGGCAAAATATGTACCAACTTGTAATAGAAACCCACCACCAGTGTTTTAAAATTTTAATACCAACATTATGTTCACAAAATTGTGATCACCATCATCATAAAACAATAAAGCACGTATTAAGTGGCCATAAGCAGAATTATAATATTGTGAATATGAATTCACTCCCACGATATTGTAGGTCCACCTTTGTAACCAACATTTATTATTGTAACTTGGCCGGTGCTTCTCAAACTATTCAATCAATCACCCACTATCTTAAAACTATTAAGTACATAAAAGAAAAAAAAATCGTGTTAAAAATATTTGCTTATTTAATTGTGAGTAGCAGGGAAAGTTGAGTTTGTTACTTTTGTGGTGAAGTGCTATTCATAAAATAATGTTTTAATACTTTTTTATTAATCTTTAGAATTGAACACAAATGCCATATTATGATCTGTAGGCAGGACGTAAACTACAACTACAAATC